CCAAGCATGCAGGGGAGAAAGGTGAAATCAGATTGCTTGGTCGCTATGAGTCAGCGGCATTGACTCGTTGGCAGTCAGTTTGGTCTTGGGCTAGGCCATAATCAACATGGACCAGGCTGGCGTAGAGGTCTGCAGAGCCGTCAGCTTTACAGGGACAGACTACCTGCTCCAGCAAGACTGAGTGACAAACCGGACTAGGACCACCGAACAGGAAAGGACAGACCCCTTACAGAGGACGCTCAGCACAGGCAGTCCCCAGGCCAGATAAACCACCCCTCAGCCAAAGCACGAGGAAGGGACAGGCCGTGGACTCAGAGCACCTGGGAGGGAGCGAGACTTCTGACTCTAAAAATAAGCGTGTCTAGCATGTGTGTTATTGTTTGCTTGTCACGGTTCTCTGTTGTGAAAACAAACCGCTACCACCGGCAAACACAAGCTGCGATGCTCGTGTACACACAACTGTCGCCAGCACTCCTGAGACGGGTCGCCCCTGGAAGGGTAAGGATAAGGGGTTTCTGTTGGTGTCTTGGGCTATGGGCTGGATTGCTAACCACAAGGTCAGTCGTTGGAAGCCACCAGCTGCTCACGGGAGACAGATGAGGCTCTCTGCTCCAGCAACAAAAGATTTGCAGTCTCAGAAACCCACAGGGGCAGTGCTACTCTGCCCTCTAGGTCCCTAGGCGTCAGAATCGCCAGGATGGCATTGAGTGACTGCATGTGAATGACTCCGTGGCTTGATCCTGGGCCATGTAGAGTCCATTGATGGCCACATTCTTTGGGGTCCATTGGGGGCTCCCCATGACCTTTCTGGCCCACCCTTTATTCTATGAGTCTTTCTAAATTGCTCGAAACTCCTAGGAAGCTCCCTTCCTATGATGAACCCAGGCTAAGAAACTTGGGCCTGGCTTTCTCCCAGACTGGAAAATATGAGGCAGCTTCAAAAAAGTCCATGGAAAAATGGGATGGAAGGAGAATGGGATTTTCCCCACATGCTGTTAAGCCCCCGTGTACTTCTCCGTCTCCTGAGATTTGACTCTCTGGTCTTTCATCTGCTTGGGCCCCCTCTATTCCACGACTTAGCCACGCAGCAGGAGCCCTGGTGGCACACTGGGTTATGCGCTGGGCTGCTTCTCTGCCAAGTCAGCAGTTCTATACCACCAGCCGCTCCGCACTCGACTTCAGGCCATTCAGACAGCGGATACCACATGGGGAGAAAGAAGCAACTTCAACTGCTCACCAAATCCCACTTCAGACCTCCCTGGGTCAACTCAAGGTGCTGATTATAAAATGCCCCAGGCAGACGTGAGTTCTGGCCCCTGCACTTGGAGCAGTGAGATGAGGCGGAGGTCCCAGTGCCAGCCCTGTGTGAGCTCATGGAACACATGGGTGTCACAAGCAAAGAAAGGTTCTAGGTGGACAATGTATACCTACGGGCCTCCCCCAGCCCAGGTTCATTCAGTTCCCGGGCCATGGCTTTTCCTCCCAGGGAGACTTAGAAGACAACCCTCCCCAGCCTCTGCCTGGGTTCTGTCCGTTTGCCTTCCACACTGTTCCCTGCTAGACAACCCAAGGAAGGGACACAGAATCCCGATGCTTGCTTCCCATGCCCTGTGCTTCAAACACTCCAAACCCGGACTCACCGCCACCCCGTAGGGCGAGACAGAACTGCCCCCGAAGGTTTCTGAGACAGTAACTCTCACGGGAGTAGAAAGTGGCTGGTGGTTCCGACTGCTCACCATCACCCACTGCGGCCCCACTCCAACCCGAGACGCCACCACGTTTCCTATAACTAAGGTGACCAGACGTCCCGCATTTGGCAGGACAGTACCGATTTTTAACAATTTTTCCTGCGTCTCGC